TTCTAATTCGTTTATAAATTGCAGTCTTATGATAATGTAAACAAAGGAAATAGTAAATTACAATTAAAGTTTTAACTAAACTTAATTTTAATTGTTTAAATTTAAGTTTATATGACATAGAGTGTATGAGTTTATATTTGCTTTATTATCTTTTTCGCAATCAGGAAAGTATAATCAAGTAAGAGATTACATTAACTGAATTGCTAGAGAGAGAGGGGGAGGGAGGGAGGGAGGGAGGGGGAAGAGAGAGAGAGAGAGAGAGAGAGAATCTGTAAAATTCTTTAATTTAATTTAAAAATCTACGTAAGTAAAAAATGATAATCTTTCATTACAATTTCACAACTTATAACTTCCAAAATGTACATGTAATAATTATTGTTGATATATCGACTAAAATAAATAATTAAAAAACTTATTAATCTTATTATTTTTTAAGTACTAATTAAATTTTTTTTATTATAATGTGCTTTAATTAGACATTAAGGTTTATTTATAAAAAATATGATAAAAGATATTTTGTATAATATTTAAACATATTTATAATATTTACAAAGTTCTTAAAGTATAGAATAAATGTAGAACAATTGCACATAATACTAATTTATTTTGGAGAAATAAGAATGTCTTAATCATATTATTTATTGAAATTATATTTAAATGATTTTTTATAATCATCAATAGCGCACATAAAATACTTGTAATAATTGACCATAACTGAAGAAGATAAATGCTACATTTATCAGTATGAGAATTGAAATTTAGATTAAATAGATGAAAGTAAAAACTATCCTGAATTACAACAAATATTTCAAATATATATATATATATATATAAAACTTAATTCTTGCCGCTCGCTTAATTTAAAACAATGTTCCACACCTTTAAAAAATCTAAAAAAAATTTTTTTAATGTAATATGCTAAAAAGTGTGTCAAACTTTTTAGCATATTACATTACAAAATTTTTTTTGTAGTCTTATAACTATATAGACAGATTAAAGTTCTCGATTCAAATATTGTATAATTTATTTTGCATGTATTTTATGCTACAATTATTTAAGCAAGGTTTTTCGATTGTGTAGAGAACTAAGGAATGTTGTTTTTTAAAACAATTTAATTTTAACATTTCTCATCCTAATTTTATTTTGCTTGTAGCAATCCGTCGAAATTTAGTTATTAATTTATTAATTTAAAAATTGTTGGCACTTCATCAGTGTAGAAATCTAAAAAGATTTTCAATACGCACAATGGCCTACTTAATCAAAAAGTTATTGTGCCTTCTCTATTTATAGAAAAATGTACCAGAAATTTCCATAAAACACTCATATACATTAATCCTGAATCCATAATATCGGTTTGTAACAATGTTAAATCTTTGTTGTTTTTTTTTATTACAATATAATCATCTTCTTTTAACGATAGGTCTGTTCTTTATTCTTGCACTATCTGAACTGGTGCACACGGTGCAATAAGTTGAAGTGAAACAAATATACGTTTCGCTTCAACTTATTGCACTAAATGTACTAGGTCAGATAGTGCAGGAATAAAGAACAGATCTATTATGTTAGCTATTATTGTATATTTTAAAAACGATTCGCTTTTAAAAAGTGAAAGAAATCACGCTGTACGTTTATAAATAATTTGATTCAATATAATACATATATTTTATTATATACAAAGAAATTTATTACATAAAATTCTCATCGTCATACATGTAGGGCATGTGATAGCGAATTTGTCAAGATAATTTTTGATTAACCCTTAACCCGATTGTTCTAGAATTTTTTCACTTAAATATTTACGCCATACTGATTACTTTTTTAATGTTGTACATGTATATCTATCTGTTGTAACAATTTAACAATTTACGTCAACAAAATAGTGCACTTAGCAATAATGCTTTTCAAAAATACAAATATTAGATACATAGAACAATAATAAATGTTGTATAGAAAAATATATTTATATCATATACATGTATACCTATATAAATTTCAAATTGAACTTTTATATCGAAAAATAAAATTCTTGCTAAATATTTTACTATATAATAAATAATATTTTTGTATGTAACATATATATACATATATATATTATTATTATACAATAAGCAAATATATTTTCTATAAGTCAATTATAAAAAAAATGTTTATATAAAATGAAAATATATTTTATACAACATAAATTATTCTTTCTAAAGTATATTTTTGAATAGATACATTATTCTTATATATATCTTGATTATATCTTGCTTTACGAGTCAAATTTAATGATACATATATGTGTATATATATATATACACACACACACATATATATGTAACATTTTTGTGTACTTCTGACAACACATTTATAATAATTTTATAATTAAAATATAAAATTTAGCAAGAGTTTATATCTTAATTATGAAATTATTATTATTTAATGGATTTTATGTAAGCATTGATCAGTTACAATATTATAACTATTATTTAAGTATATTTTTTTAACAAAAAATCTAAACCAAGAATGTAATTGTTATTTTTTGGATTAAGGGTTAATACTTTTAATGCGAATTCTCGTTAGAAAATTTAATAGAAAACACTAATTTTAAAAATTAATAATTCTAACATAAATGTACAATTTTACAATTATAAATAGTTTTTGAAGCGTCATCTTTTAATAAATTGAAAATCAGATTACGGATTTATAATTCTGTAATTGGAGATCATCAGATTGTTGAATACTTAAATAATTATACATTCTTAGATCTTTAAATTATACTCAACAATCCTATATACATTTTTGTTTTATTTATATACATTAACATAAAGTCAATCTAGCATTGAGCTGAAAAATTCATTTCACAAAACGTCGCACTTTTCTTGTAGTATATTATAATATTATACTGAATGTTAGAGAACTAATAAACATTCCCGATTAACATACAAACATTTTTTCGGTTCTCATATAAATAAATGATTATTCTTCGTGTTTTCGGCACTTTTTTTACTTCATTTCGCATAATTCTTAACACAAATTTAACATACTTATGGTCCATTCTGTATACAATCTACATATACATATACGCGCAGTTTACGGTGCGCGCGCGTGCGTGCGTAAGTGCGCGTGTGTGTGTTTAGTGTTGTATGTGGAATTTTATGAACAAAATCTGGATTTTTCCGCTTCTAACAATTTCATTAAAGCTACAGATAACAACAATAAGAGATAAATAATCGTTATAATAGATGTGTGTGTACACGAACATCAATAATGAAATTAATGACAAGCGCATTTAAAACGATCTGCGAGACGGTATACACATATATATATGTATACTTATATACGTATATACACAGGTGTACATACACACAGTATGCGTTTTTAATACATACACATGTATAAATAAACACATACATTGTGTTATATACACACATAACAATAATTCCTAGTTCATGAATATTAAGTATTCGCAAATCAGTGTGCTCTTTATATATGTACATACGAAAAATCGCGAATTTCGCATCGCGATTATATGGCCTTCAACGTAGCTTATTGTCGAAGCTCAGTTCGCAATAACGGCGCAATAATAGCTATATTTATTTTACGGATTAATATATATTTTATTTCGTTTCGTATCTCAACGACGGGCAAACTCTGGAACTAATCGTAGATCTGCAAAAATTAAAGAATATTGTCTAATAAATATTGTGTAACGTATGAACCATACGAATAATTTTTAGAGCAGAGTATCAGTAGCTCACAATCAGAATAAATAATGTCATTCTATTTTGAAATGGAAGAAATATCAAATAGCCTGTTATTAATAATATAGACGAAAATGAATTAATTCTACTTGAAGGAATAAAAAAAGTAAAATTATTTTAAAAGTATTTTTTTCTGTTCACATACGCATACACACACATACAACACACGTTCTTTTTTTAAATACATTCTTTATCTAATGTAATTAGAAAAGTGAATGAGCATGAAATAGAACGAATTTGCATGATCGAAATTTTATTTAAGTTATACTTAGTGCCGAATTTAATTTACGAGTCACCCGCCGCCGAGTTGTCTAGATATACATGCAAAATGAAGAGAATGATCATTGCATGCTATGTAAAAGAGACGACAAAAAAGAATAATCTCAAGCGGCAGAGAAAACGCCAAAAAGTCTAGTCTTTCTTTTTTCGTCCCGATATAATTATAAGCAATAATATTATTGTGTAGGCAATCACGGATATATCTCTCGATATATGCCAAGATATGTTCTTAGGAGAACAATATTTTATAAATATAAACATATATATTTTTGTTTATCGCGTCTGGAACAAGTATTCAAAGCTATTGAAATATTGCCTACAATACTTTGCAACTACACTGTCGACAATGACCGTTATAACAAGCTACCCATTTTGAAACGTAGCTTTAATTGTCTCATAATATAAGTATACCTATAGACTCATAAGACAATCGTTTTATGAATCTATAAGTCATTACTATTGATTATTTACTACCAACAATATTTGACAGTTATATCATTGAACGCATAATTGCTCTGAAATGTCATCACTATAATGTATTTTTAAGTCATATGTAAATCGATGTTACTTCATCAATTATTGCCACTAATAATCGGCAGATACACAATTGGCAATAATTATCGTAAGCAGTTATTTTGTACAGTGTATTTTGATGCATTGTATTTTGTGAAATTTGTTTAAAAGGACAAAAATATTAAATTTGATTGTGTTCGAATTGTCCGTAAGATAACCATGTAATATTCACTTTATATATTTATTTTATTATTAATATAGTTTAGGATTTCTCAACTAATTCGTATATAAATTACCTATTATGTTGTTTTACTTAACTATTATTTGTCTTGCTCAACTCATTATGTTATGTAATCCTAATACTTTCATTTTTAATAATTTGTTTTCTTTTCAGTGGCAATACAATAGAATAAATATTACAAGTCTAAATTTATGTTTAACGTGAAAAAATGTCAAATAGTTCCTAGAAATTAAATAATGCAAAATATTTCTATACACAATCAAATAGAATATTTTTGTCCTCTTATATAATGTAATCTCATATTGTATATTCTTCGCATACGAATTTACTAAAGAGAATGATACGCGGAGACACACTCATGACATATAACACAGTGTTTAGTACGTATATGTAGAAAGAGAGTCACTAAATGGCAGTAGGGAATAAAACAAACTAATACACCGCTGTTTCTTCCCTCTCTTCAGGCACCGGCGAAGCCATACACTTCCAACACTCTAATCTCGAAATCACCACTAGCGCAAAGGGGTGGATTGTTAAAGGTCGAACATCGATCCGTTTTACCGAATCTTATATTTTCGTCCATCCAGATCGCCTGACCGTCCCTGAAATGATAAGAGTCATAAATTGTTTCAACATGTTTTCCGAGCTACAATAATACTACATAGTATAGTGCTACACTGAAAAATTGAAATCTATAATTAATGTAAATTATTTCGTATAAAATACATTATTACTTCGAAAGAGAGAAATAGAAAGAACTTTCTGTTTCCATATTCTTTGCCCTTTGTGCGATGGCACTTTTAAACAATTTATCAGCATTAATTTATGTCAAAACTTACCCGCCACCGATAGTTATCATCTTCGAATCAGCAGCCATAAATAACTCGGCTGAATGATGTACTCTGGAATCATTGTGCGATGAATCCATACCTACCCAAGGATACTTGGCTCGCTCAGGATACAAACTGAACAGGAATGTCTCACCAGTACCAAAGTATGCTTGTCTTTGACCTTTATCGTCTTTCAAATTACGTTCGCACCATCTAGTAGAACAATAAGCTCCAAATACCTGAAAAACATCGTAAAAATTACAAAATAAAGCTGCAAAATAAAACATAAAAAGTATTAAAAAAACAAGTTGTATTAAAAAAAAAAAACAAATCAATCTCTTTTATCAACCTTTTTATCGAGATTATATATTTGTAGTAATTATTTTACATGATTTTTAACGCACAAAAGTTCTTGAAACAAAAAATAATTTACAACGAATGCCATAAATCAATTTTTGAGCTAAAACTTTAAATAACAGTTAATAAGATGATTATAATACGCTACATATTTTTTGCCAAAACACGTATATATATGTGTATGTGTATATATGTATGTAAAATAATATCGTCAAATATAAATATTGTTTGTACTAAAAAGATACTTATTAGTGATTACACTTACCTCATTATTACAGGTTTTTATCATCAGAAGGGTCGGTTCATGCTGCTCAACTCGCACATAGAACGTTGTCAAAGAGCATCCATGTTCTTCAGTCGTATATAATAAGGTAGGCTGGTACATCGTGATCCTCATCGGTAGCCATGACCATAGGGTAAATAACTGGTAAGTAAATAAATCCAAATCATTAATTGGACGTAAAAGATGATTTTTATAATTGTGCAAACATTAGTTTCTAATGGTTCACTAATAATTTAAAAGGAGCAAACTAAATTACGATAAGACATGCGCTGATAAATTAAATTAAAATGATTATATCAACTATTTTATGGAAAATTACAGTAACTGATACGTTAATAAAGATTTTTATATCTTCTTGATGATAAAAATTCACTATTTTTAATGCGTTTCTCCACAAGATACTCAGCGAAAAAAAAACTGATATATTTTTTCAAGTTAAATATACTTTTTTTAAAAGTTATCTTTTCTTATCTTTCATTATTGTACTATTTTCTCCTATATTTACTGTATTTTTCCATACAAAGCAAAAGAATATCGAGATTTTTTTGTTGGCAATCCTTTGTGTTTTTTAGATAATATTAATCATGAAAGATGTAATTGTGATATAAATATATGTGTAATCTACAATTGAATATTTCTAAAATAGCAATTATACGTTGCAAAAAGAACTCAACTGTTTTTACTAGAAGAACGTAATATTTATAAATTATATTTATTCTACCGTCATATAAAATATTATTCTTTTCTAATTATTTACATTTATATACACACATATACGTATATCTCTATATAAAAAATATAGAACAAAAAATAGTTAGAACATTTCCTATTTATATCGTAATATCGCAAACATTTTCTTATAAAGAAACATCAATTCTAACAAAATGTGTTTCTATCTCGTTTACGTGAGATATCAACAAAACCACGAACAATACGCTGATATGCTGGCGAAAGTAAACATCTGTATCTTTTGCAAATCAGTGCATAATATCATTCGTCATGCAACAGTCAGGATAGCATCAATCGGTTAGAGATAAAAATACAAATGAATGTTATCGAGACGTCAACATGGGTTTTTTGTGCTAGCGATGAGATGTATTCTTTTCAACTGCACGTTCAGTACTTTTGTTTTCTAATTTTTCTCTTTCACTCTTTCTTCCTCCAATATAAGGAAATATTATAACAACAATTAATTTAAAAAGCACATGTGCTTTATTTATTTTCAATTGAATTCATTTCCATTTCGATCAGTACCTCAACTCATGGGTTTCGAGATTCCTTAGCGCAAAGTAAACCTTCTTCGATCACTCATCCTATCTCAAAATAACTACAAGGAGATTACATAAACTTTCTTCATACAATAATACAACAAAATATTTCGATCTTACTTTGAAACATTCTGTATATATACAAGATTTAGCAATTTGAAACGATTTTTTCCGAGCTTGTGTAGAGAAATGAAGATTTAAAGAAGTAAAATAATATAATAATAAAATGAAATAATAAAAAGAGGAATAATTTTTCAATACTAATAATATTTTCGTATTATATATAGTTTAATTTTTAATAAGTTCTAAAAATAACATCCTGTAAATCAACATTTCTATATCTAACTACTCTCATTGTTCGCAGTTTTTTCGCACTTCTTGAATTTATTGCTATGTTATTTTTCAGTGGAAGAATATTTTAAGATTTTGCTTTAAACACTTTTACTAAGATAATCTAGTTCATGACAGCAAATTCAAGAATTAAATCAAAGTTTATATAGTTTTTGAATAAAGTAATGACAAAATTTTAATGAAAGACTCCTTATTAGAAATGTAAAGGTGCTCATTTACAAAAGATGCTATTTTTAGAATTAAACATTATAAATAAAAGGTATAAAGATTCTCTTATATTTTATTTATTATTTTAGATCTTGCCTTTATGACAAGCCCGAAAAAAGCGTCAAATTCTCTAGATTGCCGAACTTTGCATATATTTTTATGCGATTGCATATACACCAACGACGACAATATAGACATGCCACAGAATAAACGACTACTTGACGGAGCTTTTGAATCTTAATTCAATCGATGAAAGGACGGCCGTGAGTACTTACATCAGGCATGTCTAGGATCTGGGAGCATATACTTTGTATGGGATAAACGCCCATTGATAGAGCGCGTGGTCCAGGACTGTGTGCGCCCTACACACCCGATACCATTTAATCCGTAATTCCAGTGAAGGCAGCACAACACAAGACAGCACAAACACGTCAGTTACATCGATGTACAGTGAAGAGCACTAATGGTACCAATGCGAACTTTGCATGTACCCACTGCACAAATGCTCCACGGAGATATTGGATACTTTTTTGTAACGTAAAGTTACACACACCAAAGAATATGGGATGTAAATAACTATATATAAATAAACTATACATTTATTAGATACGAATAACCGTAGAATTTCATGAATTTAATATTGATTATCTTGGAGCAATGTAAAATCCTTTGATCCTTCACTACAATCGCATCGTATTGTGACATCAGAAGAAAAAAAATGTGTAATGTTTTTCTTGCACTATACATCGAAATAAATTAGGTTTCTTTGCATGCTACAACTTATATTCAATAGAATTTATATATATGAAATGTGCCAAGGAGACTATTCTTTTGATTCGCGGATTAATAAATAACTAAACTTTGATTGAACTGTCATCAATTCCATTCTTGTCTATTCTTGCAGCTGATACAAATTTTGAGGGCATAAAATTTGAGTGCAGAATCTTTCGAAAATGCTAAGAAACTTATGATGGCTTAACACAGCAGAATATTATTAAAACATTAACAATATCTGAAAGTCTGCAATGAAAATTCATTCTGCTCCCCTTATTCAACGCTTTTCTATAAACTATTCGTTTATATTTCCCTATATATTATGTATATTATGTATATTTCTCTTCTAATCATTTTATTTGATTGTCTAACGAGAATATTAGTAAATAACGAATACGTTCTTAATATGTATTTACAAATGATTCGTGAATATAATAATTATTAAATGTATAATTATAAATAAAACAGCTGTAAAAGATTTAATTTTGATTTTTTAATTTAATATTTGTAATAAATTATCAAATTTATATTAATAGACAAAGAGATATTTAATATAATTTTAATTATAATTTATTATAATTTGAAATATATGACTTTCGCTTAAAACATCTAGTGCTATGGCTGTATGCTCCTTATTGTTTATATTTAGTATAATTTTAAATTCTCTACTTTGTCTAATTCAATAAAACCTATCTTATATTAAAATCTTATATTAAGATCTGTTTATATTACATTATTATGCACAACAATGATAATAAACAGCAAATGTATTTCAAACGTTTAACTATTTAATACATACATTATTATTACATCGTGATCACATATTGTTCCAAATATTCCGAAATATTACAGGCCTCTTTAAGATGTTGGCAGATAAAATAGACGATAATATCGATTTCCAATATGATAAAAGAGATGCCCTCGATTATATTAAGACAAAGAGGCAGAACGACCGGATAATTTTTTAGTCATGTAGTAAGCTTAAAGACGACTTTAAATTTAAAAGATATAATTAAAAAAAATTTTTTTTTTACAATTTATTTTACAATTTTAATGTTACGGATCTTGGAAATTAAGCTCTATATTTTTAATTATATTTTTCAGCTTTATGTTAAATCTCTATAGTTTCTATATTCTGAAAGTAAAAGTTGTTTAGATCTACTGAAAAATATTATTTTGATATTTGTTTTTTGTTTCTATGTTATGTACTAATAGAATTACAAATTCTTGTAATATAGATTGGGAAATATAGAGAAACATATAGAACGCAACTTAGATGTCTTCGAAAAATAAATGTGATTAACGTTATATCTACGGAAAGCATCTTCTAAAAGTTGGCATAATAATATGTCTGAATCAATACCACAGAATCACATTCAAGAAAACAGGGTAATAAGTTTATAACAGATAACACTGAAAGGAATGAAACTAATACTAAACGTTTGCCAAGCAAAGCTCGATTAAATTTATGTAATTCAGATGAGATCCTGTTATTTATAACTTACTTTCATGGCTTAGTCCTTTATCGATTATAATTTATAAAAAATTACCACATGCTTAAATTACAAACTGAAACTATAAAAGAATTAATTCATATTTATTTTTTTAAGACTATTCTCCCTTAATACAGCCATATTAAATTATAACGTAAAAAAATAAATAATTTTTTCTTGCATATATTGAAACATATTAATCTTTCTCGCATGTCTATAGTTATGTTTGATTAAATAGAAAAATGGAATAAAGAATAGATAATCTTTAGTCTATTATATATATGTACATATATAGCACATTCTTTCTACAATTGTAGGACGAATATAAATATTTGATCCTCTCTTATTTATTAATAAGGCATAATTAGAGTTCCATTGGTATAGTTTAATATATAATTTATGCTATCATACGGATTGGTAGCATGCGATATAAAGGTTTTCTATAATAAACCATAGCTTAAGTTTTAAGTCTTAAGCTGTAAGAAATTCACTAATCACAGTCAATTCTTCTCACATTCGGCTGTTGATTGGTCAATTTCTTACGGTTGAAGCTTAAATAATGGCTTAATGTAAAAAACCTATAATACAAGAAAAAGATTTATATATGTTTGCATCCGATTTATAATCCAATATGGCTGCAAAAAGAGGAAGCCTTAAGAAGAATTTTAAAAGAAGGAAGAAGAAAGAATAACGCGATAGACGAATAAGATAGTTATATATCTTCTAATTCAATCTTTTGAACATAAGGAGCTGCGCACAATCAAAGGAATAAGGATCAAAGGAAAATAAGAATATCAACCTATCAGAAACTCTGTATTCTATATGTTGAGATTCTTATTCTCCGTTTTCTGTTCCCTATTCTTTTAATTTTGCGCAGTCCCTAAAAGTTGCTCATTTATTTGTTTGAATACTGATCTTGTGAGACGTTATAGATCATTCACGATTGCAACCCGCATTGATACACGCGGAGCCACACTGAAAAAGCCAGCGAGAATTTTACATTATGCGTTGCAGTAGACATTGCTAACGAGAGTATTGGTTACTGCCGCGTTGATAGTGGAAGATGTATTAAAGGAGTCGCTGCGGATGGATAAATAACAGCAACAAAGCTGGCACGACAAATGTATGGCGATGAGTGAGTACGTGTAGAGTATGAGTGTAATATAAATGATATCTCATAGTATAAAGGGGAGAAATAAAGGTAAAGGTGGGCAGAGCACATGAAATTGACAACACATTTCCCAAAAAGATAATTATACGATACCCTGTCTTTGTACGTGTCTTCACATTCTTTCTGAAAACAAATGGAATCATTGAGAGATTCGAAGGTTTACCGAACCCTATAAGAGACTACTTTAACACGCTGGGCTGTACAAAGCGGAGATTGAAACCAGAATACACAGGATATTCAGTAAATTGTAATACAGTCAACTTAAGAAAGCCATTTCTCGTAAAAAAGAAACGTTTGAAAGAATACAATAATTTTTTTAGATTGTGTAGTTTCCAAGAGATACTACTTTGAATGTAAAAATGTATCTATTCGACTATATGTTGGTACTAATATGTCGAATATCTTGTAACTCAATTAATTACAATTGAAGTAGTATCGAATTTTCAATGCTAGAAACATTATGTTTGCAATTGTTGTATTTCATCACTTCGAGAAATTACTATTTATAGTTAATAAATTATTATCAGTACTATTTTTTTTTTCGGAAATTACGCAATCAAAAACTAAAACTTAATAAAAAATATTTATCGAATATCTTTTAATCGTTTTTCTCACATGAAATTGTTTTTTTATTGATTATATTGCGATTTATTGAGTATTCTGAAATTTCATCGAGTTAAGATTTGGATATCGTAGGCATGCAACAATGATCCTTACGTTTATCCATGAGTAAATGAAATGTGATAATCGGCATAAGGTTTTTTCTCGCATACCTGTAACATCGAAAATCGAACTCAACGAAATTATATTGGTTTCAATTCTCATTATAAAGAGAAATTATACAAGATATCCCCTAGTGTAAGCAACCCCTTTCATTCCTTAAAATTGAAGAAGATAGGCCATAACGAGTGAAGTTTACATTTAATAGTTTCAATCGTCTCCTTTGTTTTAGGAAATAAAAGGGGATAGTTACATATGCTGAAACAATAAAATGTTGCATACTATGTAAAAAACTATATAAATACTTCATATTTGTAACCTGTAAAAATTCTATCAATTAAAATTATGTTCATGTATAAACTCCAGATATACTCATAACAACGTTCTGCTTTTGGTGAAATTAATATTTCTGCAGAAAATAATTTGATATGTCCAATTTGAATTTATTACTTAATTTCAATTTATTCCATTAAAACTTGTGAGATAAACACACTAATAATCTCACACACTTTTTTAATGATTATGCACTACTCTATCTTAAATTAAGCGAAGATGTGGCCCTACTAGTTTAACTAGTTAGCTCGCGTATAGATATACGAAGTAACCTGTCGTTGCGCGTATACTTTGCGCAAGACACTACTGTGTCTCTTGATTCCATGTTTAAAAATTAATTAGTTGAGAAAAAGTTTTCAACTTTTAATATTATAAACAATTTAATAATTAAATTTTTAATAAAATTCTGAAAAAATTTGAAGACATATATTTAAAAAATTAAATTGATATTTTCTTTCTCTTTCTTTAATAATCTACAATATTTAGAGATTAGAAAAAATACTCATTAAAAGTTTCAAAATTCCAACAATGAACTCCCGTGCATTTTTTTAAGTGCAGCCAATATAATTGAAGTTATAACAACATAAAAATTTTATGCATGATATGCATTACGTCCACAAAGACATGCTGAAAACTGTTGAAAAAATTATCAATTTTTACCAACATTATTCTCCTATTAGCGATCAAATATATTTATGCCATTACTATCCTGCTTATCAAATTATAATTATAACTTTTAATTTATGAATGTTATTTGTTAAGCTAAATCATAAAATGTCCAAGATCCTTCATAATCAGCACATTTTTATTAATAAATTAAAATAAATATGGAATTGAATTAAGACAAAGAGAGAGGAAAAGATAGATAAATAACGTACTTCTCGTATTGTGAGTGTGTGTGACATCATTTGAATGTTGACCTGGGATTGACTGGTGGGTAGATTGTCTGTCGAACGTGACCTGGCCAACGATCGGGACCCTGTCAGGACGCTCTTGCTCTTAAGAGCCATTTCTGTGCGCAGAAATACTCGCGATATGTATGCTGAGCTGAGTCCGCGTATCCCAAAAGCGGTACGCAAAAATTTAGCAGGTGTTACCTGTGAAAATTAATGAATTATTATTATAGTAGCATTTCTCACAATTAAATCCTTATAAGATAAAATATTTAAACTTCTAAGTAGAATATTATTATTATTATACATGTGTATGTTTGTTTAGATATACATATTTAAATTATTATTTTAGTTTATATTTGAAATTTTTATCCAAAAAGTATAGATCAAACCTCAAAACAATATAAAAAATATACAAATTTCATAGATTGTTTCATTATTACGTCTGAATATTTGTGTAAAATTTGAGCACAATTCTCTTATTATTTTAAAAGTTATTTAATTTTTCGTTAGTCTTAATTTTTATGTAAAATCGCGTTTTGCAATATTTATTTGATGAGGAAGTAACATTAAGAATTAAATCAAGTTTTAAACACATACTGATCAAACAATAATAAATATTCGTGCAAAATTTCATTTACATTCTTAACTTGTTCGTTTAAAATTTATTGACCTAAAACTACAGAGAAAAATATGGTTATTTTGTTGCATAAAACCATTATAAGTCAAATTAAGATTTGTTTTGTTTTCTTTTTTGTAATTTCAGGGCATATTCACGGTTAACATCATCAACATTTTTTGAATGATATTGGTTGATATCAGATTATTTTGTCTGATTGTTTGATATTTTTAGCTGATATAATGTAGCTAAAACATCCTTAAATACAAATATAATGTTTACTCTTTCTCTTGTTATCTAATAGTATATTAGTTTCTTTGTGCTTTTCAAATTTATTTCTTATATATTTTAGAATTATTCCGCTAAACACAATTTATTTTAGATTTGGTTACTCACTGGCATTTGTCTGCAGAACTTTGATAGAGCGGCATCTATCCCATTCTTCGAAATCTCATTCATCCATTCGGAATTCTGTGGCGAAGAATGCTTATAAAATAATAAAACTATAGCCATAGCTACCCGATAAAAGACCTGAAAGCAAAATAATTGATGATAATTTAATTTAATTATTAAAACAGTACTTTATAACAAATCGCGTATATGTCCAAAAAGAACAATTTTATGCACTATGCTCAAAAATGCTTGCAAAACAACTTTTCGTTGGCACTGAATCAAATGTCAAATTTAACATTTGTCCTATTCCTAGAATATAAGTGCATTGCTCAGTACACATAACGCGCGCATGATCTTTATCTGTCGGTTGGGTAAACGCCAATTTTTCTCGCTCTCATATGTGCGATAGATGGACGATTTCACGTGCTGTTCTTCGACTGGTTCCTCGAATGCATAGCAAGAAGTAAAGTTCGGAATTTTCCGGTTGGCGGACGGTTCAAACCAGTTTGGACTCGGAATTCATGATAATCGAATAATTCTAACAATTCTTCAAACTTTCTTCTCGAAGTTTAAATTATTTGAATCTTTATTCGCGTAACTGTCTATCGTAAAATAAAGTATACAACAATATACATTTGTTTCACTTTTTAATTTGTAATTTAATGTGCTAAGGAAGTCAGTATCTCCTTATGTCTTTGATCGTTTTTCTTTGCAATGAATATTGTATTTTCATACGACTTTTTAATATCTAAACGATTTAAATAACTATTTAAACCTTCAAATATTATTGTTCGAACGATTTGATCAATTGCGTACCAGCTATACGAATTGTTTAAATTTGAAGTTCGAGCTTTTAATTATGGCAAATACAATGTACATTTCGTGAGTTGAATATAATTTATAAAAATTATTCATAGAGTTAGCGATCAGATCTAAAGTACAAACTCACCTTGATGCCTTCATGAAGAAAACAGTCCATAACCCTGACTAGATGTTGAAATGGAAGAAGTTGAAGAATCCACCAGATCCAGTCCATGTAGATTCTTTCTGCTCTTGAACCGGAGCAATGCCTCGCTAAATGTACAGCAGCTGATTTCTTAAAATTATAAAATCGAAAAATATACATTATATATAATATATTGTATTTTATATACACATGTACATGCGCGCGCGCGCACACGCACATACATATCGCTAGAAATCTATTACTGCTTGTCATTTTTTGATAGCAAATAATTTTATCTTAGGTTCATATCTCTTTTATATAATTTCAGTGAATATATATCGATCTGGAGTAATATCGATTGAAAGAGATAGATAAAGAAGTTTATTCTACCATATAAGATAAGGTATTGAGGTAATGAAAAATATAAGATATATCGCGTAAAATATTATAAGTCATTTTCTCCGAAAATAACAAAGATAACAATAAACATCTTTTTCTCTGCTTTTAAAGTTTATCCTAAAATTACTATTTGATAAATAGAGTACCATTCCCTCTCCCTCCCTCTCTCTCTAGATGTGTGACAAGATTTTTTTAATCGACAATGTAAATTTTTTCCGAATTTGAATCCAATCAAATCCATTTAAACATAATTTTTAATTAATAAATTATTATTAGGTTAAATTTTGATATATAGATCGTAAAAAAGATTTCTATGTACATTGAAAGAAAAAATTGGCTGAATATCGCATAGCATTTTTAATTGGTTACAGCAGCCAATTTTTGGTTGCGTTAGTCTATCGAGATCCTATACTGACATTGCGGATAGGTTAACGCAACCTATCTAAAAATTGGCTGCTGCAGCCCATTAAAAATGTTATACCATCTAATTTGCTGCAGCAGCCAATCTTTTCTTTCAGTGTAAGAAAAATAATAATGATTATGATATAAAGTCATTTTAAGTATACATGTATTTAAATATTTAATATAAAATTGATAAAATATATTTTAATTACAATCAGTTTCGAAATTCACAACCAATTATAATTATTTGTATTTTAAAATCTGATTAGTCTTAATAAGATATCTCTTAGGCATATCCGAATAACAAACTCACTTATAAACTCATAAACAGATAATATTTATTTTTATCATTTTATCTTATTTTATTTGTTTTATATTTGAAATGAATATTTATAAGATGGTTTAGAAATAATAGAAGCAAATTATTCAATTAGGGAAACTACATTTAGTTAAATTAGATGAAATATATAGGACTTATTATCGGTGCTTTTTTTTATGTTTGATTAAATTTATTACATCAGGTTTTTAAAAGAATTTTAGCACAATAATTTCCGCGCTTGACTCCTATATGCCGTTTTATCCTTTATTTATTTGAATTGTCACTTGTCAGGCGTCTGTTATTAATCTTATATGTTTAATTATCTGAAATCTAAACTTTAGGAATTATTGTTACTTACAACATGTTTCTTAGTGATTTGTTCTACCGTTTTCCACGTAACTTCATAAAGAAGTTTGGTTTGCGTGATGAACACTTTCTCTTTGGCAGCTACCAAAGTAGCCATACAGTGGTAACATTCCTCCTCTGAAAAATAACATTCTCAAAATAACATAAGCAGTGGTTTATCGCAAGTAAACAAAATCCTTATTATAAATTTGCTTATTTTAGACCTTAATTCTAATTGAATTAAAAGATATATAAAAATCATAATCTACAAATAATTGTCCAGTAGAAATAATATTATAAATTATTAAATTTATATATTTATTTGCTCAATTAAATATAATTTAAATTAAATATAAATTTCGGAGTTATTCGAGTTATTCGAGCCTGGCTAGTTCGATTACGCCAATTCTTGTATTACAAACTTCTTTCACAAAATATAATCTATTATGTCAAACGTTTCAACCTTCAATAAGGTCCTCCTCAGTGAAACAATTTAAAATACAATTACATACTGTAAATTGTTTCACATACTGTAATTGTATTTTAAATTGGTGTAAGCGAACTAACCAGGCTCGAATAACTCCGAAATTTATATTTAATTTAAACTATAAATTATGAATATTATTCATAAACTATTCATAATTAACTAATATTAATAATTAATATCTTTATCCATCATTATACCGAATAAACTGAAAATATAGAATAGCATTTTTCAATTCAATCATCCACTTTTTTTAGAAAAATAAATATTGAAAATTAAGTTGAATGTAGACATATTCTACTATTTTATACTTTTTTATATTGTCAAGTATTAAAAAATATAAATAACCGTGGATGCTTTCTAATTGCAATGTGCCTAGACACTTTTGTGCACATGTATTTTAAAGCCTTCGGTTTTCCCTAAAAACTATAAGCTAGTTACACATTTCACGATCCAAGAACTCGGATCGAGTTTTAGAATCGTGGATACAAGGCTTAAGAGTGCTATTTCATTCGTGCATTTTTTGTCGTACAACAAATGTGTGCAGGACAAAGAGATCCTCGGATCTCTATCCTATAGCTAATCAACAGGGTTGGGAAATTTGTCGTACGATAAAAACGCACAAATGAAATAGCGGTCTAATGCTGTAATCATCGACACAACATTACACATCCGTACTCAGCCCGAGACCTACTAATCGGCTGCATAAGCTTGTATTTTCTAGTGATAATTAAATAGTTACTAACCGCGGCTATAAACAGAAGAAGAAAACGCAGGAGAGATATAAATGCAGTTCCTATCATCATCATCGAATTAAAAAATACTAAAGCATGGGCATGGTACTGAAAAGTAAATCTAACTCTATCCAAAATCGCGGTATAACGTACATCAGTACATATTTTGTTCCAAATTGAATCGTGCACAATACTACGCTTTGTGCATTTCTGTGTACATTTGTGTCAAGATATGCTAAGTAATTGGAAAAAGCAACTCTGTTTATATTTTATTTAAGTACAAATATAACCAATTTGAAGTTGTTTTTTGCATTTTGAACATAAATCCGTAATATTTTATTTAAATAAAGTAAAAAATAATTCCTGTAATTTTTGATATGTCAAATTATTATTGCGTTAAGCTATTGTTGATTTAATACTGAGTTAGTGTGATTTACCTGGCACAAAATGTAAGAGAAGTGCAGTTAACGGATAAAGGGATGGGCTGTATGTAATGTCAGGACAAGCGTATCCTAATACAGATACGATTCTGTCCGCCACGTTTCTGCCCTTCCTCGTCAAATTGTAAGACAAGCAATGCGTACTATCGACAAACGGCGGTAGCATGATTGATTTTTCTGGTAATTCTGCAAACAAAATATTTCAAAGCTTATATTACATTAGGCCTGTTCTTTGTGACTAAATTGAAAGTGAGAAAGAAAATTTTAGTGCAGCGATGAAGAAAAAACATTATTCTCGAAAAATATCGCGTACAAAAATATTATAATGTATGTTATGTATATTATAGATTTGCGTTTGCGATATAGATTTAGGAATATACGTCCATTGATTACATCTTCTGCACTTTTCAGTAATTACACACTCGGATTCAGTGCTTCTATGAACCATTTAAAAAAAAGTGTCATAACCTTTTAGTCGGTGAGTGTACAGATATATACAGGGTGTCCCCAACATACAGCCCCACTCGTTTTGAACAGGTAGAGCGGACTAAACTGAGTCGAAAAGTCCTCTACCATTTTGCAATTTTCGCAATAGTTAACAAGATATTAATTACTAAAAATTGCAAAATATTGGTCTTGAATAATTTTTTACTCAAATACTATCAACTTTACAGAAAAACTGCAAGAGACAAAAATCATTAATTTTTTTTTCATAAAGTTCTGAGAATTTTTTCAGAATTTTTTCAGAATTTTTTATTACCGTATTTTCTCACGTTGGTAAAAATAAGAAAATGCAGTACTAAAAAGTTGATAATAAATTCTGAAAAAATTTTCAGAACTTTATGAGAAGAAAATAAATGATTTTTGTCTCT